CCAGTTCCACCAAAAAAAAAAAAAAAAAAAAAAAACTACAAAAAAAAAAAAAAAAAAAAAAAAAAAGAAGTAACTTAAGAGTTGGTTGAAATAATAATTTTCATTTTGAGTTAGAAGTGAGGAGAGGAACCTGGGCACTATCATGAATGCCTATAATCCTAGCACTCAGGAAGGTGAGGCAGGAGGATCCTTGCAAGTTTGAGACCAGTCTGGGCTACAAAGTGAGCTCAGGGCTGGCCTGAGCTGCATAACAAGACTGTTTCAAAAAGACAGAAAAATAAAAAGAAAAAGAAAGAAGAAAAAGAAAGAAAAGAAGTGAGGAGACGAAAGACAGCAAGACACAGTAAATGTAAGTTATTAACATTTTAAAGACACAGTAAACAAAGGCATTTAAAAATTATAACACTAAAGGTCTGGGATATAGCGCAGTGACACAGTGCCTGCCTGGCAAGCATGAGGCCCAGAGTTCGATTCCCAGTATCATAAAAAATAAAAATAAGAATTACAACACTGAAACCACTAGAGTACAAACTCTGATCCACAAGTTGAAAGATGTGCAGTGTTATTCCCTAGCTTTCTGCAGGGTAATAACACTAGTAAGGAAAAAAAAATCTTATTATCACTATCCCCAAGTTAAAGCCCTCACAAATTCTACATTAGAACACTAAAGCAACAAGAAACTGCTCTCATTGGACTTTTTTTCTTGCTGTTGGCAAGCAAACTGTAAAAATGTTCTGAATGTCCTACAGTAATGTTCTTAATGTGAAATACTGGAACTCAACTCAGTAGTTAATGCTAAAGGGTCAATAATTAATTAGTCTCAATGTGCTGTAGGGGCAATGTCATGTCCAAGAGGAAAGCTTGAACTGGTTGCTGAAAACCAAAGGTTAATACAAAGTACAGTCTGGTCTCTCTTCGTATATTAGCTTTACTGATATTTCAGACATTATTTCAATTCCCAAAAGAAAAAGAGCAAAAGAAGTGAAGGAATGTACAAAAAAAAATCTATGCAGTAGCAAACAAGTTATTAATTGGCTGTGCAATTTATTATTAAATGATACATAACTATTAAACAAAAGCCAAAGGCCTGTCTCCTTTCTATACAGAATTAAGAGCAAACTGGTAAGACTACTTAGCATAGCTGCCAAACTTTTCTTTAGCTTCTTTTCTTACAGACATGCTACATTTCGCAACAGCCTCCACTTACCTTACATGCCCATGTTTAAATACAAATTCTGTTTGACTTCCCCAACCTTCACCCCAACCTTCACATTATAATGTATCTTTAGAGTTTGGATAGAAGGGGAAAAACTGAAAAAAATTTGACTTTCCTGAAATATATGTAATTTTATTTACACTATTTAAAATGCATACAAGCTAATTAAAATGAACTGCAGCCATCCATTTAATTCTTAAAGAATGAGTGAAGCTATATTTAAATGAACAAACTTCATTTTAGTATATTTGTACTTATGTCTATAAGGACTGATGTTTCTACACAAATTACATTACTGCAAAATTTTAAACACAGGAATCAACTGAGCTTGCTAAAAAAATCTGCACAACTCCACAAACCTACACTTAATGTGATAGGACCCCAAGAGATGATAAAACACCCTCTGTTAAGTAGAAAACAAACTTTTATTGAGTAAGTAGCAACAAGGGAATCTAGGCTGGAGTTTCCCTAGGTAGTAAATACCCCAGTGAGAGAAAATAACAAGCAATTCAGAGCCACATATAAGTCCCTTTGAGGCTCCAACCCACTGCTTAAGTCCCAAGCTCACATCCTTGTGTTTTTGGAAGAGATGAAATTTGGGAAGGGAAATGGAAGGAGAAAAAAATTCAGAAGGATGAGTGTTTTACATCTCTCCTTCAAGACCCCAAGCCAGCATTTTTCTAAGTTGGTCATCAGACTGGGTGTCATAACCACCAAAAGTCCTAAGTCAACAGCACAACCTCCCTCCCATATAGGCTAAAGATCTGTGCGTATCAGCCATCTCCCTTCCAAACATCTCCCTTCTCTCCATTCCCACACCATTTCTAAAGACATGCATTTGGCGACTCAACCAGTCCACACCTCCCTGCTAAACTCATTCACATAATTCTCTTCAAACCCAAACTTTCTCTACTATCATGTCTCTGATAATTGTATTCAATCGAAATGTCACGACGCTCGTTTCCAAGGATCCAGCCCTACCTATCTTTCCTGACAAACCTGAAGTATGCTTTCACCAGATCACGGTCCTTGTTCTCACCTACTCATTCCTACCTCCTGCCAGTTACCCCTGCCTTTTCCAATGCCAAGCCCTTAACTCCACTCTGGAAAGTCCTGAGTATTCAACCGAGTTTAGTGGTCTTCCTTCTCTCATTCCACCACATTCCAGGATACTTCCACTAGACTCCACTAAACTATCCTTCTTTCCATATTCAATTTCGCTGTCCTTGCCACGCCCTGTGCCCCCCGGGGCTACTTACCCCCAAGTTCTCCCCACACTTCAGGCCTCTGGCCCCGCCTTCCCCCCCCCAGGAAGGAGGCGGGAGGAGGGAGAAGAGGGGCGGCACTCAACAAAATAAAAGTGAACGCTCATTAGCGCTTATCGCCGTCAATCGTAGCTTTCTTTTCTCTTATTGGTCACTTTAGTCTATGCCCCACCCTCTTCCTCAGACAGGCCCAGCCACCGCCTCAGCGCCCCCGTCCAACACGCTAGGAGGGGAGACCCCTGCCGGAGACGCCGAGACTGGCCAGAGTTGAAGGGGAAACTCCTGTCATGTCACAGATCAGCTAATGTTAATAGGACTCACCCGTTGGTAGCTCCGTCACCTCTGGTCCGCCTGCGCTCAGCCCCACAATCTGTCTCCAGCTCCTCCTTTACCCCCTCAGCGGAGCAGATACTTTCCTCCCCGCCGGCCAGGCTCGCTCAACTCTCGCGAGAAATGGGGCGGGGGGGCGAGATTTATGGAGGCTGAGTTGGAAAGTGACTAAGGGGTTGGGCTTACTGTGGGCAGGGATTGGGTGGAAGGCCTGGCAAATACTGTACACATAGGTCACATGCGTTGCGGTGTAGAATGGGGGGGTGGGATGGGGAGGTGAGAAAAGAGAATCTTTATAGATGCCTGTGCGGGAGATCCAAAAGGTGAAGCAGATTCTTTAGAGCAGTGATGGTGAACCTTTTAGAGCTTTCAATGATTTAAAAAAAAAAAAACAAAACAGCGACTCTGCCACGCGTTCCATAGGTCAGCCACCACTGCTCTAGGGAATGAAATTATCTCATGGAGCAGTTTAAAAACAACATAAGATTATACCTCAGTAAAGCTGTTGGGAGGGTTGTAAGCAAACCAGGTCAAACAAGGGAATTCAAGATTCCAAACATGTGAGTAGTTGCATTTTCGTCTATACTTGCAGTATAATGCCTTAAGCTCTACTATGTGTGACATTGGGGAGGGGTGGGAAAGTGAGGTAAGAGCCTCAGGATCTAGCTAAATTGTATATGTGTTCTTTTTTCCCTACTGGGGATGAAACCACTGAGCTACAGTACATCCCAGGCCCTTTATTAATTTAATAAGCATTATTGGGGTCCAGGAGATAGCTCAGCAGCATAAGCATTTGCCTGGCAAGTGCAAGGTCCCAAGTTGAATCCCAGGTGCTGGAAAAAAAAATGCATTATTATCATCATTTTGAGAGAGAGTTTCACTAAATTGCCCTGGCTACCCTCAAACTCATTGTCCTGCCTCAGCCTCCCCAGTAGCTAGAATTGCAGGCACTTGCCACTGTGTCCATCAGGAACTGTTTTTTGTTTGTTTTTTTGTTTGTTTGTTTGTTTTTTCTTTTTCTAAAGTCCAGATTGTTTCTATTACCCTTCAGAATCAGCATTTCCGTGGCCTGCAAGACATAACCCCAATTTTATCGTAAAGGCACATTATTGTGGATGTATAATATGCAGTTTATTCTTTAGAATAGTTCTATTTATAAATTTTTATTTTAT